ACCTGAAAGAAAAACCCGCATTTACCTTTCATTGAAGCGCAATATCTAAAAAATAGGTATAAAAATGTGTATAAAAATACTATATATTTTAGGTGTATCAACATTCTATGCTATCTACTTCGAATTTGTGAATGGATATTTTGTTTTCAATTTTTTGGTGTTTGTTGTGCTTTTGTGCTGCACTTTGCATAATGTTGAAAGTTTAGGTGTGAGCTTTTCAAACACATAAGAATTGTGGTCTTTGTATATCAACAGAGGAAATGTGTGCTCTGTAAATAATTTTTTTTGTCATATGTTTGGGGTTGCTCTAATAGGGGCTCGGTTGACTGTGGTTGCAGTTCAGTTGCCTGTTGTTTTGTTTGCTTTGAATTTCGTTGTATTTGTAGGGTAGCTCATTATGGTTTTAGGATTTTTTTTTTTTTTTTTTGTGCAAGCCATGCTATGTGGGTGAAATTCATGGTTTGGTAATTTGTTTTGGATTAATTTCTTTTGTTTTGCATTGAACCATCCTTAGAGGATTTGTCATGTGCATTCCATGCTATGCGAGTATAATTCTTATGTATTTGCATATCTATAACCTAGATTTAAATTTTTACATATAATTTATTTTCTCTACATGAAAATGTGTATTTCACTTTTGAAGTTGAAATAGTGATTTTTTTTATGTGATATGAAAAGCTTTGGGTGATATAAATGCACAAGATTAGTTGTTTGATATGTATATACATAAGAATTAATTGGTATGCAAGTAAATATTCCATCTTGTTTGTATGCAAGTGCATAACGACTGTACTGTTTGATATGAAAGTTAAAAATGTGTTTCTCATTGTATGAAGGGGATACCTACAACCGCTCAATTCTCGCTTATTATTCCATCTAACTGCTAAATTTTTTTTTTACTCATGAAACATCACCTATAAACGAAAAGGTGTTTCTTACTTTTTTGTGAGCTAAAATGGAGCTAATTTTGATTTGATATGGAAGATTTTAAGTGTTATAAATGTAAAAATATCAAAATTAAGGGTTACATTTTTAAATGTTTTAACAGTCAAATGCATGTAAATGCTCCTAAAAAACTACATATGTTATTCTTAGGAATTGAGTGATATCTATGTAAATGTATTAGCATCGGTGATTTTTCAAATATTTTTGTACGATTTGCATAAATACAAGTCAACTCCTATGCATTCATATGACCGCTTCTTTTCCTCGTGGCTATATGGTTTTCGGCCTTGTCTTCATTTATAATTATATGTTTTTGTATTTGGTATGATAATGCAATGCATGTTGTATGTAATGCGGGTTTCGGTGACATTATTTTTCGCAATGTTATGTAGAGCGATGATAGAAAAAAAGAGCTTAACAAATCACCAATTGTGATTCATATAATTGTTCCCACTTCTTTGCAATCATTGGACTTCATACCACATATATTACCTAGTATTAAAGCCCGCATGATATAGTTAACCACAGATATTATCTGGTCTTAAAGCCCGCACGACACAGTCAACCACATATACTACCCGCTCTTAAAGTTTGCACGGCATGGTTAACCACCAATACTATCTGGTCTTAACGCTTACACAACACATTCAACCACAAAAACTACCAAGTTTTACAACTCACCCGCCACACTCAAACACATGATCTTAAATCCCGCACAATACACTCAACCATAGATACTACTTAATCTTAAATCCCACACAATTCAGTCAACCATTAATACTTTCTGGTCTTCTAACACACCTAACACACTAATTGAAAGATACTCATTAGTCTTGCAACATACCCAACACACTCAATCACGTGTGTCATCCTCATCTGTGGGTGACAAATGAATTGGTGAGCTTCTCAAGGTCATTCATATAGAATTCATAATATATTTTGGATGTTGGTAAATTTTTTTGTGAATTGCTGGATGAATTACAGAATAATTATGGTTTGCAAGAATCATCCCAATTTACACTCATGGAAATAATAACCATAACTTTATATATTATATCACCCAATGAGTCTATTCATGTTGCTTTCGAGCGATTCCAACACTCAACCGAGACGATTAACAAATATTTCGATAATAGCCATAACTCGTTGGTTGAATGTCAAACAACATCGTCAAACCTATATATCCTACTTTTGGCATATATCAGAAGAAATTCATAACAATATGAGATACATGTCATTCTTCAATTTAGTGATTGTATTATCTATTTAATTTGCATGCATATTTTATCAAAAAATTGTCCTTGTGAATATTCTAAATAAGATTATATATGAGCAATTGATGACACACGTGTCGATGCACATATTAGAAATAATGATAAGATTGCATATATTGGAAGTTGTGGATTTATAACACAAAATATCTTAACAATTTGTGACTTTAACTTGTCATTTACCTTCTTAATGATTGAATGGAAGAGACTCTTCATGACAACCACATATTCAAGTTTTTTACTCAACGATGTGAATATAAATTTCTAATGCTTTTACCTGGTTAAAACATTAATGACTGTATATGAGGAATTAAATTTTAAGTGATGTACTAATAATATTATTATTCAGGAAAATTTTACTTCGTCAATTTGAGATTTTTCATGCAACAAGATTTTTTAAATTTCTTCCTTAATACGAGGTACCACTTTGATTTTAAGCTCAATGATCCACCTCAAAATAAACTGTTTTAGTGAATGTTTTATAAGTCTTTTTTGTAAATTTTTTATGATATTGCACTTTAAAGTAAGATATTTTGTATGTTTTTAGTTTCAGGTACATTGATGGATATTTAGAGAAAATGAAGAAAAAATAGAGCAAAAATGATGATTTTTGTGTGGCGCTGTGGCGCCAAGGGGTGGTGCCATAGCTCCACCGTCGAGCGAGATGTTAAGGAATCAGTCATTTTCTGTTTTGGAAGGGTGTTTAAAGTAACCTTGGTTTTTTTCTGTTTTCTATTTAATGAGAAGGATTTTGGCCGAATTTAGAAATTATGTTGTGCAGCGTAAGTCCTAACTCTCCTTAGAAGTCCGAGGTTGTCGTTCGGTACGACGTAAACCCTCATATCTCTGCGGGCTATCTGCATAATCGTATATTATGCACATATAAGTCTCAAATAATAAATTTGGCATGATTGAACCCTCGAATAACATCATCTTTAAAACACAGACACACAGTAGGATAGTTTGGGAAGTCACTGAGGGTTCTCCTGAGAATCTGTGACGTCCCCTATCTTCTTCTTCCTTTGGACTTCTGAAAATAACTGTTACTATTTGAGCCACTCCCACTTGCCTTTTCACGTCCTAACGTGAAAACCTAAACCTCAAATTATAAAAAACTAGTATATCTGATCATTATCGAGAGTTTTCTCAAGTGACCCCTGTCATTTGGGATGTAATTAACTATAGGGGTTTGCTTCTATAGGGAACTTGGAAACAGGTAAAAAAAAATTTATTTAATTTTTATATTAGATAGGGAAACTTGTTGGTCACACAAAAAGTTCGCAGAACAAACGGATGTCACAAATCTCTTAGTTTGTAGGATTGAATCCATCGCCGAGGTATACACTTATTTTTCGGGAAGGTGTAATATTCACGGTATTGGACACGATTATGCAAACTATTTTACTAATGAGATCGATTTGGTCTCATTTTTCAAAAATTAAAACATATTACTTTCAAACCCCAAATTATATACCTATTATATTAAATTTAATTTAAAAATTATTTTCAAAATAAAAAAAGTTGACCGACACTAATGTATTTTTGTCGTATGATTTTCGAGCAAACATTCTGGCGTCAATGAGTGATGCCTAAAAAAATCATAAGTTTCGATTATGTCGCCTCGAGATTAGTAATTGTTATTTATTATTGGATCAAAATATCTTTCATCATTAAGGCATTAATTCTTATTATTTGCATTAGATTTTTAGTTACATTGTAGGATTGTCAATCGTGTCATTGTCATTTCATTTATATTTGTTGTTTTGCACTTGTGATATATTTCATTTATTGCTCATGTCGAAGTAATTGGCGGGCTCATTTTATTTATTGCACGACTGCATGTATATTTGTTTAAATTATGCAACTGTAATATTTTATTTTCTTACACTTTATTTTTACGAACTCGCATATAAATTTCTATCATATCAAAAGCATGTGTGAAGTAGCATATTACTTATATACTATAAATGTGAAAAAAATTTTGTATGCTAGTTTGTGATGGCATATATATATATATATATATATATACCTTGGCATGTTGGTGCCAGCGATAAAGGGTTGGATCCCACCGTGGCGCGGGGGCTCTGGAATTTTGGGCACATGGCGCGACTCTCATCATGGGGCTATAATGCGCATGAAAAATCGATATTTGGGCCTCTGCCAAATATCAATTCCCTTTATATATATATATATATACATTGGTCTGCTGGTGGCAGGATCACTGTAAGTACCCTCGGGTCAAGGGTTCAATCCTATCATAGCGCGAGAGCTCTGGAATTTTAGGCACATGGCGTGGGCTCTCATCATAAGACCAAAAAACGCATAAGAAATCTATATTTGAGTCTGCTAAATATCGTATTGATGCAACTTTTAAATTGTGAACTTTTTGAATTAAATTTAGGATCATTTGATCTTCAATTTCAGCAAATTTGTAATCAATCTAAACATCTTAATAATGTAAACCCAACAACACCAAAATTGATCAGATTTAAATATAAATTAATTCAAACCAAGTATTTAAAGTACGATTAAGAAATTTCTATATATGTGCAAGATCTTCTTGCAAAGTTAAGATATAAAATTCTCATTTTACCACTCTGAAAATTTAATAAATTTACATTACATATGGATTCTTTACATGATTCAAACCTTGATCCCTAACTCCCAACGATCTCGACTTAATAATTAATCCAAAGCAGCAGCCTTTTGCTGCATATTTTACATCATTACTGAAAAAGCATTTTGTTATGTCCTCTCAAATATCGTTACATTTGGAAGGTACAGACTGTTAAAAGAAGAAATTCATTTCGAGTCCTGCAGGTTCTAAAGCCGTTTGAAATTTCAATCTGCAAAGAATTCAGCTATAAATGGGCAGAGGAAGAGGAAAAGGGAAGAAACTCACAGTTGTACCGAGCCCCGAGGACCCGGGAAGTGGTGCTCAAGAGCACCTTCCAGAATATAAAAGTAGCGAACAGCCTGAAACACCTATGGAAGATGACACCAATCCAGAAGAAAATGTAAAAGTTGAAGTAAATGGACCCAGTATCAAACCTGTTCTTACCACTAAAGATGAAATAGTTCAGCAGAGTGGGAAGAAGAGGAAGAGGTTCTTGCAAATAAAAGAAAATTCAGGTGCAATAATGGAAGAAAATGGCCCCATTACCGGATCAAAAGTCGAGGGGACGACGAAGAGTATCGGATACAGGCAAACTGGAAGCCGTCGGAAGAGTAAACCTCATCGGGCAGCTGAAGCTGTAGTTCCAGTAATGGCTGTCTATAATTATAAGGGGTTTTGACTGTTTGCTTGCCTGAAATTCTTAGAATTTCTGATGCTTTAGTTCTTATGTTTGGCCCTTTTTGCTTGGTTTAAAAGTTTTCTTGGTAAGTTTCTTGTCTTGAATGGATCTACAGTTTAAATACTATATATTTGCTCAGTTTTCATAAAGTTATTCTGTGACAGAATTCTGGATGTATATAGATCTCTTCCGTCTTTGTTCATCTTGCTTTTCTGGTCCAGTTCTGTATAATGTTGTTCTTTTAAGTGAAGTTCTATGCCTTATTGGGGCTGTAAATCAGCCAAGCTTGAGCGGGCTCGGGATTGGTTTGTGTTGGGCTCGTTCAAAATTGACTTGTATTTGTTATTGCTCGTGAATGGTGTTCATGTTCGGCTCGATATATAT